AAGCTAAACTAAAATTGATTTTTACTTAAATGTACAGTGATCCAAAAAGTGTCTAATGTTTTATTATGACAACAGTTTCAGAATACTTAAATCACCAGGGGCCTCATGCATAAAGGATTGCACAGCTTTCACACTAAAAGTTGGCGTACGGAAAAATGTTAGTGAAGTACACCGCACCAAAATATTCAGATGTATAAAGCCATGCGCACGCAGGTTTCTGTGCACCTTTCCTTTATACATCCAAATGAACGTGGAACTTAGCGCACGTGAGACACCTCCCCTGACACACCTCCATTTAAATATGTAAAAGAGGACCAACCGATGGGGGGATCTTGACCTAAAGATTAATTTACATTTTGACTTGTTTTCTTTTCATAAAGGAATGTTGATAATTTAAAACTTCAGAATCATTTTCATTTTATATTAATTACATTTATTAAACCAATCTGATGTTTTCATACAAAAATACCTGACTTCTTTTGTAACTTTAAAATAGATCAATTTGACCAAAGTTAAAAAGAGACAAATATCAGTCATTCATGAACTGTGTACAAATATACAATGAATAAAGTACTTTTAATTTTAGCTAAACAACAGCTGAATATCAAACATGAGTTGAGTTCAGTAAGTATCATTCAGTAATGATATATTTAAATGAATAATTGCATTAATGTTGTCTTTTTTACTTTTACACTTTTCTTAAATACCCCCTGCTGTAACCTGGGAACAGACAATAAGTAACTACTTTAACACCAAGTCTGGTACAAAATAAAATAGTGTCAACATGTTTCTCTTCCTGCACCACTTCCTGTTTTCATGTCAGACACGCATTTAGTGAAAATTCCAGTGAAACATTCAGTAAAAATAGAAACAGTCCAGAGAAAAGATCTTCTCCGTCACATTTATATGAATAATAATTATGTACAAATATCATGTAACTGTGTACAAATATGATTCAACTGTGCACATATAACATGCAACTGTGTTGAAATATTATGTAACTTTTTACATATAATGAGCTGCTAGAGCAGCAGAAAATCAGGTTTATTTAGCAGCAACAATTATAAAAAATCTGATCAGAATCAAATAAAACCCAACAGATCCAMGAAGAACCTGAGCACACAGCAGGTACACAGCAGGTWCACRGCAATACACACTAGTACACAAAAGATGTTGGTTGTGGGTCAGTGGAACCGTAGACGTTTTTGTRGCAGAAACTCTTGGTGTTCCTCTTCAGAGAGCAGGTTTCCTTTCACACTGAGGAAACATCATGTTAGAMTTAGTAAAAAYATCCAAGTATGAAAAACATCTGAAWATAATTCTAATGGGTATATTTACATACATGTACTGTGATTAGTTGTTTATATTTGAACAGATCTTACAGGGTTTAGCTGTATTTGCAGTTCTGACTGAATTATTATTTATTCTCTTCTAAAGTGAAGAMCTTTCCTCAYGTAGTTGAACAAAACCATTATTAGATGAGTGTTGGTTTCAGTGTCCACCTCTGTCACAGCTGATCCTACAGGTGTTCACTCTCTGATACTCACCAGATCTCTTTGAGCTTAGAGTTGTGATCCAGAGCAGCAGCCAGGGTTCTGATCCCAGCTGCAGTGAACCTGTTGTTAATTAACCTGCAGAMATAAACACAGCAGGTGAGTCTGACCGTCTGAACCTGGGCTCAGTGGGCTCGTGCTTACTGCTCCTCACCAAAGGTGACTCAGACCAGTGTCTGCTCGGACCAACTCTGCCAGCTGTGGAGCTGCATCATCAGCCAACTCATTCTGCACCAACCTGCAGGAGCACAAAGACAAATACTTAAATCTATTCAGTTTATTTACTGAACTGAGTCTTGATGTTTGTAACTCTGTCTCAGCATCAGACCTGTTAAGTTCATCAGATCTGCCTGAGCTGCTCTGGACTAGAATGATTTGATCAGTTTTACTTCATCTAAACCCTGAATGAGTCCTCTCCACTAACAGTAGTCAACAGCACCAGGTCTCAACTGCTCCTCTGTCCTTTTGACAAACTCACAAATGTTTAGGCAAGTGTTTGACACCAAATGACCTTCCTGCTGCAACCCACAGTCTTTACCCAGACCTGGGACAGACACCAGAGATCCACTGGTTTGTGCTCCCCATCTATAGATCAAACTCACATACCAGAATATCCTCAGGACGCTGTTCTGAAGCAGTGCTTTTGCCAGGAACTTCCCTCCATTTGAAGTGATGCCATTGGCTGACAGACTGGAGCACAAAGGAACWGTTTTATTAAGTCTTGGTCCATTTTTTTCAGGTTTTGCTCTTGTCTGTGCTGYATCCTACCTGAGGTTGGTGAGCCTCGGGTGGTTCTTCAAAGCTTCAGCAAAAGCTTCTGCTCCCTCATCACCGATGCTGTTCCCCCACATCCTGCAAAGACACCATGAAGACTACAGTACATAAGTGAGTATTCAAASACTGAGACCCTCTCTAACATATTCATTAAGTCCTAAACAACCTTCTCCTGTGTACGTACCCCACATCAAATATAGAAGTGCTTTTCTGAACTGCGCTGGCCAAAAACCTTCCACCAACCTCTGTGATTTTGTTTTTACCAATCCTAAAAATATAGTGACGACAGCATCAGATAACATAACTAATTCCATTCCTACATTTTCACTGTCCTTATCTTACTTGACAACTTCCAGCTTGGGACATTCTTCAATAATCTTAGCAACCAGCTTGGCTCCAGTATCAGTGATGTTGTTGTCGTAAAGCCTGGACAAAAGAATCTGGATCAGACTTTATTCAAATAGTTAAATATAAATCAAAATATACAATTAGTTGTTTTTGCTCATAAAAAGGTGTAGTCAGAAGTTTTCACCTGCTCTCACAGTGGCTTGCAAAAGTATTCATAYCCCTTGAACTTTCCCTTACTTTKTCACATTACAACCACAAACTGGCCAAAAAAAGTCGCCACCTGSATTTAACTAAGCAAATATGWATGGGCCTATTGGATCATTACTGCCTGGGTGATTATCTTTCATCTGGCAATAGGTTATTTAAACTCAACCTCCTCTTGGCTGCATCTCTGATCTGTGCTCTCCGTTTTGGTCTAAGTTTAGGTGGACGGCCTTGTCTTGGTATCAGTTGTATCGTACTCTTTCCATTTCTGGATGATGGATTGAACAGTGCTCTGTGAGATGTATAAAGCTTGAGAAATCTTTTTATAGCCTAAACCTATTTAAACTTCTCCACAACCTGATTCCTGACCGGTCTGGTGTGTTTAGACTTCATGAAGCTGTTTGCTCCCCAACGTTCTCTTAAACAACCTCTGAGGTTATCACAGAGCAGCTGGATTAGATTACACACAGGTCGACCCTATTTAGTCACTAGCAGTCATCAGGCAGCTTCTGAATACAATTAGCTGCACTCAGAGAAAAGGGGGCCGATTACTTTTGCACACTGCACTTCTCACTTTATTTGTAAAAATGTTTTGAATCACGTATAATTTTCTTTCCACTTCACAACTGTATACCTCTTTGTGTTGGTCTTTCACATTAAATTTATGTTTTTGGTTGTAATGTGAAAAAAATATGGAAAAGTTCAAGGGGTATGAACACTTTTGCAAGCCACTGTATATCTCATTTTAAAACAAGGCATTTCTATGATTTCAGCAAAAATAACAGCTAAAAATAACCATTAAAATTCTACGAATGTAATCTTGATGTCCATGTATGTAAACTTAGACCAGTGTTGAAAATAAAACTCCATGTTAGTGTTCCTCTAATACTGTTGTCTTACTGAAGTCTTTTTAAAGTAAATCAGAATCACTTAGTGAAAATTATTTTGTGTCAGAACCTCTGATATACTCACCCCAGAACCTTCACCACCTTGTGTTTGCACAGCTCCTCTGCTAGAACCTCGATGCTGCTGTCGGACAGGTTGTTGACACACAACCTGGATGCAGGCAAGAGGTAAACAAAGCAATAAATGACTGTTCAAACATCAGTGAACACTGCAGCTTTAAATGTCGTCATTCAGGACTTTCTTCACTTCTGCGTAAATCAGTGGTGTCCAAAGTCAGTCCTGAAGGGCCAGTGTCCTGCATGTTTTAGGAGCTGCCCTGGTTCAACACAGCTGAACCGAAGTAGTGCTTAGTAGGCCTCCTCAGTATGCCATCAAGTTCTGCAGAGGCCTACTAATTAGGCACTCCTTAGGTTCAGCTGTGTTGAACCAGAGCAGCTCCTAAAACATGCAGGACACTGGCCCTTGAGGACTGACTTTGGACACCACTGGCGTAAATGATCTAAAACAAACTTATTACAAGATTAAACAAATGAAAAGAGTCTTATAACTGGACATTAGTATCTAATATTTTTGGAAAATTAAAATACCTGTCTCATAAAAACATTAATTTGATGGTGAAATGCTGAATCCTATTTTGAGTTTATTTTAACTGTAATAAATAACAGGTCCTTATAAAATAAACTACTATCTCTTTTAAAACACAAACCACCTTCATCAAGTCATTATTTTAAGTGTAAATGCCCTTTTTTTAACATGTATCTCTGTGCAAAATGGGTTTAAAACATAAAGAACGCCTTGAGAGGAAAACAAAACTGAAAGTTTGTTGAGCAAAAATTACCTCTTTAAATTCTTACGTCTTTGTGTTTGTGTGTGCCCATTATGCCAGCAGTCTTCAAACAAAAAAAAAAAAAACATATATATTGATTCAGTCATACGAGCAGTCATACACGGCTTCGAGGCGATTCTGGTCCACCGTCCGGCGTCTCAGGAGGGGGAAGCAGTGCAGCACCAACACTGTTTATGGTGGGGATGGTGTGCTGCTGACCTCAACTCGTGACGTTGTG